GGTGAAGGCCGCAGGCCGGCCGGGCCGATTTTCGCTATGTAAATATCAGAGAGGGGGGGAGGGCCGGGGGACAAAATGGCGGCGGCTCGGCGCCTGCTGCAGGGGACGACTGAGGGGGTTGACGGGAGGAGGAGCCGCCATCTTGAAGGCGGCGTCTGAGGAGAAAATTCCGCTACAGCCCGTGAGGGGGGGTCGGAGAGCGGGCGGCGGCGGCGGCGGCTCCGGTGACGGGCCCCGGAGGCCCCGCACGGCGGCGTGTGCGCGCGGAGGGGGCGTGCTCGCTCTCACATCGGCCATTGCCCTCGCCGCCATGATGGGCGCTCGGGCTCCAGGCGCTCGGCGGCAGCGCCACCTTCCTGCCCGGCCTCCTGCAGCCCCGTGACTGGCGGAGGCTTCCGCTGCATTTCAGCTGAGCTGCGGCAGGCGGCCGCCGGCGCCTGGAGCCCGCTTGTCCCTCGGCGCTCCTTGCCTTGCGCTCGCGCCCCCGAGGGCGGCGGGGCGGAGGAGGGTAGCCCCGGTTTCTGTGGGGACCCCCAACTCATCGCATCTGGAGCCAAGCGAAGCCCTCCGTGGCTTTTCGGGTGCCCTAGATGCGGCGGTTTCCCACAGCCATTGCCTCTTTGGGTGTCTGAATGAAGAAATAAAAATAAAAATTGATTCCAAGGCGTTCTCACCCCGCTTTTATCCTGTAGGGGGAAAGGTGCAAATTGCCCACCACGAAAACGGAGGAGTAAATTGTGGGCGGGGGCTTTTGCACTCATGTATTTGGAAACAGCATTCTCGAAAGGTGCCTTGATGTTACTAGCGCCCCGTGCCGTTTTTTGAGGCGCGAGAAAGGGGCAGAAAGTTTTTTCCACACGTAAGCGTTGCCCTCTGTGGCGCCGCGTTCGCTGTGTGCGCGCGCCGGCTGCGGTGGCTCGCGTCTTGGCTCGCGAAAGTTCTGAGGGGGGGATTCGCCCGACAGCCGTTGCCAGAGCAGAGGACCCGCTCTGCCGCCAACTGGCGCCGGTGCTGCGCTGGTGGTCGCGGTGCCAGGGCGCTGGGGCGCTGGGGCGCTGGGAGCAGGAGTAGGTGAGACGGGCGACCCCGGGCGTCGCGGAGAGGGTAGCGCCGTGACGGGGCGTTCCGAGGGAGGTATGGCTCCCACTTGGCCCTCGGGAAGGGGTTCCTGAAGTCGGGACATGGCGGGGTGCCTGAAGGATGGGTCCGCCGGCCTCCCAGCTCGGGGAAAGGGCATTTCAAGGGTGCAGCGGCTTCTGAAAACCGCCGCGTTCACGGCTGGACGGACTGGGTGGCGGGGCGGGGGTCCGGGCTGGGAAAGGTAGATGGCGGCGGCGGGAATGGGGGGCGGGGGCAGACCCGAGGCCCCGGGGCCTGGATGACACCCCTAGGGGGCTCCGGCCCCCTTAGCCGGTCCCTGGCGCGGGAAACGTCGCGAAGTTGGGGAATCCGGGCGCAGCAAGTTGGTCGGTGTTGCCGCCGCCTGCCCGAGTCGCGCGGACGCTCGGCGCGGACGCTGTCGCTGCTTGGGTAGGAGCCCGCTGCCCCGTCGGCCGCGCCTCCTTTCTGCCCCAAGCCGCGCCTCACCACCCTTTGGCTCGGGCGCCTGAGAATTCACGGAGCGAACGGCCGACCGGGGAGGGGTTGCCAGCGGGGTGAGGGGTTGCCAGCGGGGTGAGGATGCGGGGAGCTTGGGGAGACCGTGATCCTGGAGCTGCCCCGACGGCGGCTTTTTCAGAAGTCGGTGTTGGAAAGTAGGTTGGAAGCGAAAGGCGGCGGCCTCGAGGTGGCCGTCTCACGCCCTGCTGGCAACGGCACCTTTAGGTTTGAGGGGGGCGACGGAGGCTCTCGGCTGCTCACGTTTTGGCCCGAACTCGGCTGGCCTTGAGCACCCTGGGGAGAGTTTCCTAGAACATCCCATGGGGCCGCGCCCCGTCTTTCCATTTTCCTAGACCGCGCCCGGTCGGGACTGGATGCCCGCGGCGGGAGGGCGGCGAGCGGAGTCGCGCTCAAACCTTGAGGCCCGGGGTGCAGGAAACTGGGGCAACAGCCCGGGAGGCCGGGCAGCGTCGCCAGGTGGCTGTGGCCAGGGGCGGGCGTGGCGCGTCAACAGACCCCGCAGTGGGCTTTGGGAGCCTGACCCCGGAGAAGGCACCGAGAGCCCGGCAGGACTCGTGGTCCGCCGCCCATCCCGCACGGCGGCAGATGTCCCGGGACCGCGGCAGTGGCTGCGGAAGGTTGAGGCCGAGGTGGACTCCAGCTCTGGAATCGAGAGGAGGCGTGTGTTGTTTCAAAGGTTGTTTGTTTGGAACAGTGAAATATGAAATGCTTTTTGCCGAAACGGTAGACCTCATGATGTGGGAGTCTGACCGGATTTGAGTAACCGGACGCCCTGATTACCAGACCTTGGCCATGAGCGGCGTTAGTTTTGAACTTCCATGCATGTTTCAGATAGATGCAAGTTTCCTTCACAACGCAAAAAAACTTGTTTTCTTTCCCTGTTGCTTTTCAGAAATGCTTACTCTGGCTGTCTTCGGGCTGGTGTGGTCGCTGCCGATCTTGTGTGTATTATCTGTGTCTGCACCTTGGCAATTCCAGACTTTGTTTTTCCCTCTGAAACTCCTCAGCACTTCCCCTGAAACTTCTCCCATTCGGCCTATAACCTAATCTTTTTACTTAAGCCCAAGGATTGACGGACATCTGATAAAGGCGGTTTCGTCTTTGTCTCCGCTTCCTGCTCTCTCCTACCTCTACCTCGGTTTCCCGTCTTGGCGGCGGGAGACTTGGCCGCCTGCAGGCGCAGCAGCCGTAGCGGGCCTGCGCGCCGGCGCGCCCCGCCCGGCCCAGGGGAGCGGGCTGTCAGGCAGCGCTTGCATCATCGCCCTCTCTCCGAGCAGCCTTTCCCTCCCGCTCGGCATTCCCAGGTTGGCTCATCTGACAACTCTCACCTGCTTTCTCTTCTTTTAGACACGACTTGTGTTTCTTCCCATCCCCCTGATTCCTGAATCCACTTTTGCCCTAAAAATTGGGACCTGTCTCGGAGCTTGTCAGACGTTGTGCCTTCTGTGTCCTCTAGGGAATATCAGTTTCCCTCCAGGTCAACTTTCCTGGAGTCTTCCCCTCTGGTTTGAGGGTCCTTTATTATGCCCTCTCTGGTTTCTGTCCAGCATTTTCAGTTGCCTACTGATCGTCCACCCAGGTGTCTTACTGACCCATAGTGGAAGCCCAGTACTTTTGATTGAAAATCCCGCTAAAAAACCCTCAAAAACAACCCCTCCCAAGACAACCCCCCCACACCCCCCAACAGCTCCTGCTTCTGGTTTCCTCCCTTTATGGCACCATGTTTTTTTTTTCCAGGTTCATTCTGGACAGCTCTGATTTTGCATGTAAGCAGTTTCTGTTTATATTTTTGTCTTCTAAACTATGACTGTAGAGGCAGGTTCTCATTTTTGGCCCGGAGCAGTAGCTGGCACAGGGGCATTATCTCTCAAAACAATCATCACAGTTATTAGGCACAGAGGATTTTATATAGTTGACTAGTTTTCAGCTCTTCAAGCATCTAGTCAGGGTGTTCTTTGATCAAGGGATGTACCTATTAAGGCATACCACATGGCTGAGTTAACCCCCAAGCATCCCTCAGCTGATTTTAATGAGGCCAGTCTGTTCTTTTCAAAAAAAAAATTTTTTTTTGCAAAATCCATTTATCCTGTAACAATATTTTGCACAAAGGGAGGTATACTTTAAGTAAACTGAAAAAAAAATACTGAACATTTTACAATTACGAATTTTTTCAGAATTACTGGAAAGTATCACTTAGATTTAATGGATCACACTAATTTATTACATATTTGCTTCAGAACTGATTATTTGTTTAAAGAAAGAAAACCTCACAGATCCAGTTAAAGAGTGACCCCCCCCCCCCCCATCACATCCCTGACTTTGCCTTGCCAGAAGTAGCCGCTGTTCTGGTAAGAAGTATGTAGTGTAAACAGTACCGAGCATTGCTTTGTGAGTTTTGACGTAAATGGCAGCACACTGTGTGTGCCATAAAACTTCTTTTCACTTAGCAGGTATGTTTTGGAGATTTATCCATGTTGTATGTGGATCTAGTTCAGTGTTCTCACCGTGCTCCAAGAAATCCCAGGGATCCCTAAGAATTCTTCCAACTGCATTCCTCTCTGCACTGGGCAAATACTGTAGGGAGGCTGCATGTCTCATGATGTCACAATAGATTGAACAAGAAGCATTTATGGGAATCCAGATGTCCTCTGTTAAGCCTGCCCTTAAAGAGATTTGTAAAAATGCAAAACAATAGCACTCCTTTTCCTAATTATTTTTTTAAAGTTATTTAAAAATAAGTGTTACTCATGTTTACAATGGCGGGCTTAGTTTTGAAATGATATTTTAAAATGTCTTGGATTTAATTTCTAATATAAATTTAGCTAGAGCCCACATTGACAACTCTTTAATCCTTCGTTTTTCAGAGGTCCTGAGACCAAGAAGTTTAAAACTACTGAATATAATATGGTTAATCTGTTCTTGTGGAGTTACTATTAGGTCATATGCTTTTTTCCTGCAATTTTAAACAGTGTGACAGTGGACATTCTCTTTTAGGGTTATGGAAGTAGAGTTGCGTCATTGAAGAGTCTGTGTGCCATCGGTACTGGGAATTGCTGGATTGTCAAATTATGTTCATCTGACATTCCCATCAGCTGTGTATGGGCCTCTGTTTCTTCAGGCCACTGTCAAAAGATTAGACTTTGCAATTTTTTTCAGTCTGTTGGGTATAAATGGTATCTTATTGCTGTTTTCATTTTGCATCTCTTAGATTACTAGTTAATTACTAGTGTGATTGAGCTTTTTTCTCTATGTATTTATTAGCTATTTGAGTTTTCTGTGGGTTTTTCTTTTTACTTTATCTTTGGCCCATTTTTTTTATTGCTAACCTTCTCATTAGTTTATGGATATTATTTTTATGTTTGAAATACTGATGATTTGTAATACATATCATGAAAATACTGTTTCCCAGTCTGCTTATCTGTTAGCTTTGTTTATGGAATACACTTTGTGTAGGACTTCTTAATGTGAGGTCGATTTTTCCCAAAAAGTAGATTTTCTCATTTTTTTTAAACTTATGGTTTATCCTTATGTCTGCAAGGAATTCTTCTATTACCCCAAGGTTATTATGATACTGTACTTTTTGATATTTAAATCAGTAGCTCTTCTGGAATTTTTTTCCCCTCTGTTGGGTGATGTAGGGATCTAATATTATCTTTTTTTTATATGGGCTTAAGAATAGGAAAGCCTTTCGCTCACTGATTCATAACACAACTCCTGAGCTTAATATTCTCACAAGTCTACATCTGTTTCTAATTTCTCTCTTCTGGTTTCATTGGTCTGTTGGACTATATGTGTAGCACTTTGATTTAGTAATGATAGCTTTATAACTAAATGTTAATATGTTCTTTTTCTCTGTGTTTTTTTTTTAAAGCAATTTAAGTATTGGAACTGGGATTTGAAAATGGGCATGCTCTACTGCTTTTTCATAAAGCGCTTGCACAATTTGTTATCTTGTCATTATTGTTGTCATTGTGAGTAGATTTTTTTTTTAGCTTTTCTGCTGTTACTTGCTGATGTATAGGGAACACTACTTACCCGTATTACTCATATAACTTTTTTGAGCTGTCACAGTTTTTAGGTTTTTGAGGTGCATGTTCCTCTCCGCAGTTTAATATCTCTGAGGGAAAAAACAGATCTTCACTTGATGGTGACTATAACCAGTGTTGTCCTGGCCACAGCCACAATGTAGTCATCCTTGCCTATTGCCTGCACAAGCACAGATTTGGTCAAGAGTCTTTGTCTCTTAAATGAGTGTGGGCATTGTTGTGTTGTTATTCATGACAAACAATACAATCAAAGGCAGAAGTTGTGAAGTGGGTTTCTGACTAGAAAGAAAATTGCATTGATAACAAGCATTTTAAGAAATGCTGCGTCACCAATACTTTTGTTGGCAGAGGACAGTGTTAGTGGGTAAGACTCAATAATACTGAGTAGGACAGCGGTGCCCACTGGGACCCTGAAGGTGGAGTTTTAAGAGCACTTTACCAATTTCTTTTAAGATACGATAACAATGTCTAAATAAATCTAAAATTTTTGTCTTGATAAGTCTAAAAAAAATTCTGGATAATAAAATATGGTGCTAGTTTAATTGGTAATGTTTTTAGTTGTATGTAAAATAAGATGCATTTACAACTGGTGTTATCTTTAGATTCAGTGAAAGTAGGAATAATAGTTTATGATTCTTTTGTATTTTCTAAGTAGCTGTGTGTAAATGATGGAGTTTTATTTCTTTTTATTTTTTTTGCTTCTTATTTTCTGTGGGGGGTTTTTGTTCAGTGTATGGACTAGAACTCTAGAGCAGTGTTGAACAGAAGCTTTGATAAAGGGCATTGTTGTCTAGATACTTTCATGGAATATTTCTAATATTTTAGAAGTATGATATTATAGTGTTTTGGGAGGAGGGAGTAGATATTACACTTCTCTTCTGCTTACCATTTTTGAGCTTTCCTCATGAGTAGGAATTGTTTTTCTAATGCCTTATGCATCTACTGGTGTGACGCATTACATGCATTGATTTTTCTATTTTGTACTATCTTTGGATTCCCTGGATATTTGTATATCTTTGTTGTGTCATGTACTTAAACTTTTTTCATTTAGTCTTTGTCTTGTTCTGATAACAAGGTTATGCTAATTTCATAAATTGGGGAGTATTTCTTTTGAAACAAGATTTATGTGATAGGGCTGATCCGTTTTTTGAAAGACAGTTCAACTGTGAACCTGTCTGCTGTTTTTGTGAGTTGGTTTTGATTTTTTGATGATTTCTTTCATGACTTTTTGACTTTCATTGAGTGATGTTTTCTGTTATTTACACAAATGAGCAATATTCTAGAAAAAATATAAAAATTTCAATATATTGGTATAAATAAAAATATCTCTAATGACTTTAAAATATTTTACTTCATAATTTCCTTTTTTTGTTCCATATTGCCTAACTTGCCTGTTAAGACTTTTAAAAGTTTTTTATTGATCCTTTCATATGAGTTTTCATAAGTTATCATGTCATTAATATTTCTTTTGTTCTACCTTATTTCCATTTATTTTGAAATTTAAAAAATTTAAGTTGGAAGTTTAACTCAGTAGTGTTTAATACCTGCTCTTCTAACATTTGCCTTTAAAATCATTTGCCTCTAAATTATAACTATGCTGTGATTTTGACATGAGTTGACTTTCACTGTTTAGTTCTAAATATATTGTGAATTGCATAATTTTCCTATTGCTCATTATATCATTTAGGACTTTATTTTCAGATTTATAAGTGTTTTTGGCTAATATTTGGTATTTGTAAATTTTTTTGTACTGTAGTTGAGGAAAATTTATAATTTCAATGAACATACAATCTTGAAGTAAATCCACCAAAGTATGTCAAAACCCTTAGTGAAGTATTACTGAAAAATGAAAGAACTAAATTAGTGGAGGAGAGACAATATTCATGGATTGGAAGTATCAATATTGTAAAAAGGTCAGGTCTGATAACCTACTTAGTGCAACACCAACCAAAGAGCTAACAAAATTGCTTTTTTTTTTTATAGACCAGTTTATATAGAAATGGCCCAGAAATAGCAAAGGCAATCTTGAAAAAAAGTTGGAAGACTTTTCACTACCACATATGAGAGATTATTGTAAAGTGATAGTGATTAAAATGGTGAGCACAAAGCCAGATTGATCAGTGGAACTTGAATAGAGTGCAAAAGCAGATGTACATATAGTCAATTGATTTGCAACAAAAGTGCATTGGGATTTGATTGAATGTAGTTTAATTAAGGGGAATTGATACTACTGATCCAACATATTCAAAAGCAAGATTGATTCTTTCTATAGTTGTCTCATGTGTGAAGACTATAGCTAGCATAACTTACATCTGCAAGTTATAAAATTTTTTAAAAATCCCACTTAGTAGCGTTTCAATCCTTATCAAAGGAATTTTCCATTCTTAAGTGTTACATAAGAAAGCTTTTCTTTTCTTTTTTTAAAGATTTATTTATTTATACATAGAAGAACTCTGGGGTACAGGCCAGGGATGCAGGGAGTGAGAGGATTCACCAGAGAGAGTGGGGAGCAGAACAGGCAGCAGCGGGCAAGACAGGAGAGGTCTGCTGTTCCATGTAGATCATTTCCCTGATGGGTATAGAACTCAAACTGAAGTGGGTGGTGATACCTTGACACAGCTGAGATTTTAACCTATGCACCACCAGGAAGGCCCCAAGTAATATTTTGCCTGGCATCTCATTGTTTTACCTAATTGCGATGCTGTTAGTTCCCATATAAT